ATATATATATATATATTAAGAAAAGAATATGAATGGGAACATCACAGTCGTATAAAGTATATCATGCAGTAATAAAACGTGCTTAAATAGTGCGTTCAAAAAGGCGGATTGTTTTCTGTTAAATTTTATGCATTTTTTCTTTCCCTTTTTGTTTTTCGCTTTTTTTTTTTTTTTTTYTTTTTAATCAATTTTTTACGCGATCTTTTTTCTTACGTTTCGACCGTTGTAATTTCAAACATACACGCGCGCGCACACGCACACACACACACACACACACACACTTTTCGATACAGCGTGTACGCACGTATGATTTTATTACGAATGGATCTCTAATTAACCGATATAAATAGATTGTTTTTCATTTAATTATTATTAGCGATTAATAAATTCGTTTATTCATTATAATTAATTATTATTCGAGAGAGAAAAATGTGTTTATCGATGCCGGTGGATTGATTTCTTTTTTTTTTCTTTTTTCTTTTTACTTTTTATACGTTTAAAACAAAAGTGTCAACGCAGATTGGTTCGAACTAATCCCTGATTGTTGCTTTGTTTTTGGTTAGTTAGTGTTAGTTTAGTTAGTTAGTTAGTTAGTTAATTAATTAATTAATTAATTAGTTAGTTAGTTAGTTAGTTAGTTAGTTAGTTAGTTAGTACGTATGTTTGCTGTATTCTGGATAGATTAAAAAGGAATATTTTGTCAGGTACGATATCTTACAGATAATATTTAATAATAATCGATCTTTTTTTATGAACTTACTCTTGAAAAACTAATATTGCCTTTTTTTTAAAAACTATCTTGAAATATAAAATGCGAAAATTGAAGTTAAATGGAATTATCAAGTATCTATAAATTCATTGCTAACATAATAATAATAATAATAATAATAATAATAATAATAATAATAATAATAATAATAATAACAATAACAATTGAATATATATATATATATACGACACAGTAGCAGCAGTAGTAGCAGCAGAAACAGCAGTAATAATAATAATAATAAATTCTTTGATGTGACATCATAAACTATCTCGTGAAATTCCTGTCGTTCTCCTAACAACAAGAGATCGTCCATCGTTATCCACGAATTATACAGCGATCTGTAATTGCAGATTATTGCCAATAGTTATCTCTATCTCTCTCTCATTCTCACACACTCTCTCTCTCTCCCTCTCCCTATTTCGTTATCTCTCCGTAGGAGCGATCATGTCACTTGGATATATCTCAAACGGACGTCAACTCGTATTAGAATACTATGTTATACATATATATTACTATACACATATACAGTATTATTGTATAATGTATAGGAGATTATATATGAACATATAGGATAAATATAACATATTACATAGAAATGATACGAATGTTGTATTGGGTATTATGTATATGTGTATACATATATATATATATATTATATATATATATGAAATATTTATTATGTACCAAATGAATCTAATTTGGAAATATGTAATAATTGTCATTCTTCTGTGATGTTATATCCCTTTTGGCAATTCCATTGACGCAAACGGAGTAAATGCAGCAGCAATTGCAGCAACTGTAGCAGTATAGAGCTGTAGTAGTAGTAGTAGTAGCAGAGGCACATTCTTCGATGCTACAGACTCCTGAGGGTTTGCGAAGTGGGTAATAGTAGTAGTAGTAGTAGTAGTAGTAGTAGGAGAACACTGGGTGTCGTGTGTTGGTTGGATGGTGAGAAGATGATGATGATGATGATGATGATGATGATGATGCTAATGTTGTTGGATAGTGAATAGTATTGTATTGTATTGTTGAGTTAGAGAGAGAGAGAACGGTGGGTGCCCAGTTGGTTTCTTGGATTCTGACTGACTTTGAGATGGTTCTCGATCTCACCAAGTTGTCTAGTTCGTTGTAAATTGAGCCAAAACCCATCCACAAGTAGTTGCCGATCGTGATTAAGGCGAAGTATGGCCAAGGAGAAGACAACTTGTAAGGAACAGGAGTACCATAGTACCTTTAACAAAAAGAAGACACAAACTAACTTGACGTTTAGTTCTATTACAACGTTCTCGATAACGCCAGTTCTACCAAACCCCTCCCCATTCACCACCCTAACACTCTCAACCCCAGTCAACACCCTCTCTCCCTATAACGTTTCATTATCTCATCTCTAAAGCAAATTCCTCGACAAGTTTCACCGTTTCCAAACGGTGACGCGAGTACTTTGTGATCAATTTACTTCGTCTTACGAATTATTATTATTATTTATTTTAGTTTTCACGCCATCGTAATCTTTAATTATTATCGATGATTAATTAAGTCTCGTTAAAGTTTTGTCGTACATTCGTCTTTTTGTTTTTTTTTTTTTTATAACGATTACCCCGTGGATAAGTAGAAATAATATACGTATAATATAATATATACGCGTACTTTTGTTAATTATTAAATGAAATATTAGTTATACAAAACGCGCGTGTTCTATTTAAAATACTTGCAAATGATTATATTCGAGATATAAATAAAATGGGAAAATTAATGTAAAGTATTATACATTCCCACAAAATGGATTCGATATGGAGAGATATTATAATGGATTGAAAATGTATTCATTATTTAATTTACATTTGAATATACTAAACATTTCAAAAATGTTATATTAATATTCTTATATATTTTATTTAATAAATACTGACATTTTTTCAATCTCCCCGATCTCTGGAGTGAGTGCTTTGCGAAAATAATTTGTAATTAAGAAAAAAGAAATCAAGAAATAAAAGAAGAAAAGTGAAAAAGATATGCACACACAAACACACACATATACATATACATATATATATATGCAAATACAAAGTCGGTGAAAATGAAAATGATATTTCATATTTACCCGGGGTTAAAAGTTATAACCGTTGGCTATACAATTATATGAAAGTTTTCAACGAAACATATCGTAGCTTAATAACGCCAGGTCTGATATTGAAATTGCAGTCAACAATGTGGTGGTGCACCTTGTGGGTGTGGGTGGAGTGGTAGTGAAAGAAGACAGGGTGGGGGGGGGGKGGATGTTAATACCCGTGGTTCACGATATTATCGTCTCTACCACGTACTATACGCTTTTCTCTGATCTCAAATCTACTCTCTCACGTACACACACACATACACATTCTCTCTTTCTCTCTTAAGAGCCACGCGTTCTACTTGTAACTTGTTTTCGAAACAACGTGAAAGCATGGAGCAAGGTAATTTCATTACTTGTAGTTGAGACAACGTTTTAGCGAACTGAAAGGTAATTGCCATTGTTGGATTTTCTTGTATTTCGTGGCCTACTCCTAAACTTCACTACTCCTCCCCACCCCCATCATCACCACCATCGCCATAACCATCACTGGCACCACTACTATCTCACCAACCACCCTTCTCTTTCTCTTTATATGTTTCTTGTTAGTCTGTTGTAAACTGTTGGGTAAACTTTCACACGTCTATTGTTACCTCGACACCTGACTTAAATTCGATTTTCGTTAGATATTGTTTGTTGTCTATTATTAAAAATATTCTCGTCGGTTTTACAAACAGACTCCCTCCCCCCCGGTCTTGTTATTATTCGATACTGTTTTATTTTCTTTTTTTTTTTTTTATATTCGTATAAAATCATTTTATTAAAAGAGAGATAGAGAGAGAGAGAGAGAGAGAGAGAGACGATTATTCTTTCCTTTTCATTTATTAATAATTTTTATTGCGGGGAGAAAAAAAAAAAAAAAAAGAAAAATAATAAAAACAAGAAAGTTATTTATGATGGTTTTAACGTAGGTGAAGCGTGAATATTATTAGCGGTTAAAAGATAAAAATGCATGCGTTCAAAATGCATGCACTCGAGATAAAAGTTTAACGAATTCGATATCATAGTTTTAAAATATTAGATCCCCCGCTCCCCTCCCCCCTCCGGAGGAAGAAAAGGGGTGGTACACACTTTGTTATTGTTCCTTGATAAAAATGAAATGCTAATATTCTTTTTCTTCTTTTTTTTTCTTTTAATTCTCTAAATAATAATTCTCTCTCTTTCTCTCTCTCTCTCTCTTTGATGGTAACGCGATTGTGAAATTTACAGGTACTTTGTTAGACTCGTATTGTAGCCAATAATGAATAGATGTGTCTATAACGAATTTTCCAAGGTCTCTTTGACGTATTATAATTACATCATCATGCAAATTGTTAAATAAATTCATAATAAAGGATGAAGAGAGAGAGAGAGAGAGAGAGAGGGAGGGGAAACGTTTGAAATAGAATACGCGTGCGTGAAATAGTATCACACACGTGTGTGTGTGTGTGGGTAACGCACACGTATGCGATTGGTAAATGACAAAGCGTCGATCTCTATTTCGTTTAATAGGAGACGATTACAAAACGACTAGAGTTAATTAGCATCGCGTATAAGTAAATAATTAATTGAGCTTGTTTCCCCCATCCCCCCTATACCCCACCCTCTCTTTCTCTCTCGCGAAATTACTAAAATTATATTTAAATTTTAATAATGTTTACGAGAGATGATTACAATAGAAGACGAGATGATAATAATGATGATAAAGTGTATCATTATTATCATCTTCCGTTTCGTTCGGATGGAATATTAATTGTCTTTTTTATTTTTTTTTTTTTCCCCCTTTAACGTACCATCGAATATTTCTATCTCTTTTTTATTTTTCTTTCTTTCTTTCTTTCTTTATTTCTTTTTATACGTAAAGAGCGCAGCGCGTACTATCTCTTTAGAAACATTATTCGTTATTTATTTTTTCATTATAAGTATGGATTTGAATTAAAACGAAATATTTGTCGAGTCAAAATGTACTTTTTTTTGTGTGTTTTATTTTTAGGTTCGTTGATCGTTCGTTAGAAATTTCTACGAATTACGTATTATTTTTTCTTTTCCTTTTCACCTTTCCTCTCTCTACCCCTTTACCCTCTACCCTACCCTACTCTCCCCCTTTTTTTTCTTCTAGTTTTTTGTTGTTCTTGTTTAATATTAAAATAAAAATTTCTTACATCGAATGAGTATGGCTTCGTTCGTTGGTGCTTTGACCGTATAATTTTCTTCCTCGTCCAAGAATACGTAACTTGCATTAAACCCCGTGCCATCCAATCGGTCATTACTTTTAAATGTTACACGAAAGAATTTTCTGTCGCTGTCAACGTCGAATTCTTTCATTTGACCGCAATGTCTTGAATATTTTCGATCTTTCGCCATGTAATTGGAAAATTCGACAAAATCGCTGGCCGTCAATGCTTCGCATCTGAAACAAACGAAACAATATAATCAAATTGAACGATCAATTCGTATACAATACACAGGTGTTTCCCTTTTTTTTTTTTCTTTTTTTTTTTATTATTATTAATATTTATTGGCGATATTTGGGATATTAAAACGAATCACGCGTGATATGGGATGGGCAAACGAATAATATTGTCGAGTTAAAAACAAAACAAAAAAAAAAATATATATATATATTATAATTAAACGAGGGGCGGATTAAAACAGATAAATGAACGGTAGTTTAAAATAAAATTAAGAATTATTATTATTATTACGACAAAAGTCACTATATTCGTTATGGTATACGATGATTAATTTTATTTCTAATTAATGTATTTTCGATGATTACACGTAATTTGTTCGTTACTTCTTTTTTTTTTTTCTTTCGAACTTTCGATGCGTAATTAAAGATCTGAAAAGAAATTAATTGGAAAAATAATGAGATACCAAAAAAAAAAAGAAATGATAATAAAATAACAAATAAAACAGAAGAATTGTAACAAAAGGAAAAGAATATATACATATACATATATATTGTTCTCTAACTCGTATTAGCAAAACTCGTAATAAACGGATTAACTTTCTCTCAGCGTGTGAGAGAGAAAGAGACAGAGAGAAGTACCATCATCACCAGCACCGAGGCGAAAATTTAATTTCGATTTAAGCCCTACGAGATCGTATATACACGGAACATTAGGTATTACGAGCGACATTCATCATCGACCGGTCCATTGCATACCGCATACGCGCAGAAAATGTGCTGTCTATTCTGTAAATATAGGAACATAATCTAGACCTTTCATATAAAAATTTATATATATATATATATATATAGATATGCATATATATTACATATTCTCATAATAAAATGCAAGGATAGACAGAGAAATAATATTTTATTATATTAAATCTTTTTTTTTGTGTGTGTCGTTCGTTTTATTATATGAATGTTCATTTTCTTTTTTAATTTTCTTTATTAAATATATATACGTTCCAACTAAACTTAATTGCATTTCATATTTTTAGAAAAATATATAAATGATCATAACAAATAAAAAATGGAACATGCGTTATACTAGAATTAGAACATATTTTCATTTTCAGATTTTTCTTATTAACTAATACTTATGGGAATAAGCAAAATCATCGTATACTTAAGAATAGAAAAAAGAAAAAAATGAAAATAGAATAGTATATTCTTTTATTTGTTATACATTCATCCCTCTCTCTCTCTCTCTCTCTCTCTCTTTTTCTCACATACTGTTTCTCTTTTTCTTTAGGTGGGGGTTGCAAGCTACAAATTCTTACGGATTTTGCCTTGGCATTACGAGTGTAATGCACCGACACGAACGAACGACAGGACGAAAAGCGAGAAGAAGGAGGTAGTATAGTATAGTATAGTATATAGTATAGTGTAGTATAGTATAGTATAGTAGAGAAGGGGAACGTACATATTTTTCCGAGCGTTATTATACTCGTGCACAAGTCGACGACCCTCGTTACCACCGTCGCCAGTAGTAGTAGATGCAGGAAGGAAAAGGTTTTATCGATTTCTCCTATCACCAACCGAATGTGTATTTTTACGTTGCGTAATATATCCTTTCAATTCGATATTGCTGACTTATTTGAAAAATTCATATCTCCTTACAAAAATCATTACGATTTTATTACCTATCTTTCTTTCTTTCTTTCTTTCTTTCTTTCTCTTTTTTTTTTTCTTTACTTTTAATACAATTTCTGGTAAATATTTTTTATACTAAAAGTAAATAGATTTTCATGAAACTTATATTAAATTAAAGTACATTCTTTTGTCTACGCGTA